CCCCCCCCCCCCCCCCCCCTCTATATTCACCAATATGAGTATTGCTTTAGCAATGTACAATATGCGTAGCAATACCATCCTCGCGAAGGCGGTCTGCTGTCTGCTGTACCTCTGACAGCAGTGCGGGTACTCGTCTTGACTGTAGCTTGGATCCAACATGTTTGGTGGACCTATGAAGTTGTGAGAGGCGTGCGTGCGTCGGGTTACCGCGTTTATGGGCTGTCTGTCCGGCACGAGATGGGAGCCGATGCCGTGAGTTTGATCCTCTTGAGACTGAAGCGTCGATGCTGGTTTTCGAGATCCTACCCCGACTGGCACACAACAGCAGTCGATGAGACTTGTAGAAGACTTTCGTCGTGTGTCGTCGGTTAGCGTCTCAGAGCAGAGAGGGAGGGAGAGTATGCCCTCGCGGCTCACACACACAACCTCGGGTTACGCTCAACCGTCCGCTCAATCAGGCATCGCGAGTACTCGAACGAGGCTTAGTGTCACTTCGATAGTAACTCTTTAGGACTAACCGATGTTGAACGTAGCAAGGCTAGGTTCTTTGACGCGATCAAGGCTAGGTTGCTCACCCACACCTACCCTAGCCCTAACCCTAACCCTCACCTCCGGCTAAAGCACAGCCTAGCGGCCCTAACTAAGCGAGCACGCGGCTGCGCCGCGTGTCGGAATGCGGAACGGGGAGAGGGTGCTGGCGAGGAATCGGCCGCCAGAACCAACGCCGGACAACCCCCGACCAATCAGAACGCGTTAGTCCTAAAGATCTACTATCAATGTGTAAACACTACTGACTCGAACCAACACCAAACCGTCACTTTGGGCGAGACCTACCTCCTAATATAGTGGCTCTACCCCCCCTCCCTTGTCTGCCCCTCTCATCTCAACCGAGACCATCGAACCCTTGCGCCTTCCCCCCTCTCCTCGTTAAGCGCTCTCTCTAGTACGCCCGCGTGTCTGTCCACTCTCTTGTGCCTCTGAAATGCTGCCTGTGTGGCTGTTTTTGTTTCGGTTAGCATGAAGATGAAGTGGACCCTGGCAGACTTCACGGAGATGAACGACCAGTTCACCTTCCGCCTCAAGAAGCCCGAGAAGGGTGTGTGCACCAAAGTCAGCCTCGACTCGGCGGCCTGCAACAGCTTCCAGTCCTTCGTCAGGCAGTTCGGCTTCCACCGGGCGAGGTAGGAAACGCTCTGGGTCCTTGTGTGTTCTGTGTGTGTGCATAACGCAGGGAAACGCGGCTGTGGAAACGCGCTGGAATGCTGGGAGAGTTATGCATTGCCTGTCTTACTTAGTAAGTTCGATTCCGGTATCGTGTACATATTTGTTTTTGGTGCCTCGGCACGCATCGCGGTGCTTCTTGTTGCTGCTTTGTCTTCTCCATCCGCTGAGGCCATTAGTAGGTTTCTGCAGGCTACCGCCGTTTCTCTCGCTTTCTGGGGAGTTGCGCTTCTGATCGCCACTCTCTTGTACTGCTGTATCGTGCGTCTCCCTGCAGCTTCCGTCTCGTCTCTGTCGAGTGGCAACTCTTCCTTCCCTTTCCTTCCTCTTCTCGTGTCATGATTTTTTCGCGCTTTTGTGATTTTGTCGCTGTTTTTGGCCTCTTTTGCTGCTTTCTACCCCCCTGGGGTGGCAATGTGATGTGCATGACAGGATGGGTTATCTCTACGGGCACTTCACGGACGACGACACCAAGGTACAGTAGGTCGGCCAGTCAAGTTAGTGTCACCCTCAGAGCATGAAACACGCACCAGTCCAACACGACGCCCGCGTTTCCTATCCATGTCTCCGGGTCGAAGCTGGACACACACTTGCTGTGATTCAAATATGTAGGGTGGCAACTCAAGGATTAATTACAAAATTCGATCGAATGGTGTTTCGACGCGGTGGTGAAAAGTACTTGAAATGGTTCAACGCTTGTGGAAACTTCGCACATCGAAACGCACAAGGGCATACATTCCTCGGTACCCTCAGCTTGATCTCGGTGCTATGGTTATTTGTTTGTTCAGGTCCGTGTGGAGTGCGTGTACGAGCCCCCACAGGAGAATTACCCGGAGGGGTTCCAGGTGTCGGAGGACCCAAAGGCGGACACGGTGGAGGCGTTGGCGGGACTGTTGGGTCTCAAGAGGGTGAGTGGCAGGGACGGACGGGGAGAGGAAGAGGAACGGGTGAGGGGAAGAGGAAGGGCGAGAGATTGAGAGGGAGGGAAGGAGAACGAAAGAGATGTGTACATGTACACAGAGGTAGACTGGGGGGGGGGGGGTACTCATAGTCGTGCATGCCGTAGTCGTTAGACCATTGACCTCGCATCCCTACAAAGCCGGGACGGAGCACGCCGGGTTCTCACCGGACCAGGCTCTCACATCACCAAGCGCGAAGCGCCGTGAGATATTCGGCGAGTCGCATGAAGGGTGCGCTGCATCCTGCTAAGGGTGTTCGGCATCTTGTGCTTACTTCCTTGCGTACGGATGAAAGCTGTGTATGAGTTAATTTATTTTCTGGTGCTTTCACTTCCAGAGACAGTTATAAGCACTGCGTAACTGCCTCGATGGTGCTCGACCATTTTAACACAACGTGGTGCGATCATCCCCCTTGCGCGGAGTGAGGCTTCTCCACCCCGCACAACATGATCTACTCGACCACCATTATGGTTACCGCCAAAAAAAAAACAGAGGTAATAGAAAACGGTAACCTGGTTGCCGAGTTCACGAATTGAGTTGGCTTGTTTTACAACGTCGTTGCCAAGCGACGAAAACCCAATCCCGACAGCAAACACCGGTAGACTGGGAAGGGGCGAGAAATGTTGGTGTGTCTTGCGGGCTTCTAGGGACAAGAGAGAGACAGAGGAGGCATGTTTCACGCGGGATAGAGTGGGGTAGGGTAGGATAGGGGGTGTTGCTTGGCGGCGCTGTGCTGCTGTTGCTGCTGTTGCTGCTGTTGCTGCTGTTGCTGCTGTTGCTGCTGCTGCACGTTCCACGCAACGAATTATCCCTGGCCTCCATAACGGCTCGACCCTACCTTGCTATATTTTTCTTTGGCTTTGGAAGGTTGGTTTCTGTTCCATGGGACATGTTCCCTGGGACGGCTTACGACGACGCTGAGAGTGCGAAGGAGATTGTCTTGCCATCGTTTTGTCTGCATGAAAACCGTGACAATGCAGCAGTAGCTGCCAAATATCCCCCCAAACTGCTTGGCTTGCCGTTGGCTGCGCGGACCGCATCACGTTGCTACCCCCCCCCCCCCCCCCCCCCCCCCCCCCCCCCCCCCCCCCCCCCCCCCCCCCCCCNTTGGCAATGTTTGAATTGAATATCCCTCCCGGCCCCTTCAACCCCCTCCGAATGTCTGTCCGAAAACCGGCTTTTGCTTGGCACTAAATGTACCAATGCGGTGCGGCACGGCCCCGATACTTTCATGGTTTTGATTTGCGTCAAGGTGGGGTGGATTTTCGCGCACCCGCCAAGGGAAGAGGGCTTCCTGTTCAGCTCCGCGGAAGTGATCACGGCGGCCACGCTGCAGCTAGAGGCGGCGGACGGGGTCAATGACACCCCCTTTGTCACCGTCAAGGCAAGCGAAGAAAGCGGACAGCATGGTTGGCTACTGCCGTTGTCGATGGTGGTTTGTGATTGCGTGTCAAGCTGAGGTGGTGATGAAGTAGTCAGCAGCTGCTGGTGTCTTTGGTGGTGATGAGCTAGTGGTGGCGTTGGTTGAGGTGGACTAGTTGGTTGATGGGAATGTCATTTGTATCTGGGCGGGAGCCGGGCGAGCTGTTGAAATATATGGCTTTGGGATCTCGCGCCTGTGTTTGTGCCCTGTATGTGTGGGTATTGTAGTGCGATGTGGGTGTGTTTTCGGCCGCTACGCGAACGTTGCGTGCGCCGAGAAGGGCACGCCGCGCCCTTGGCATCATTTCGTCGCACCTCGCGTGTGCCGCCGACCGCCGTTGATGATTCTGAAACATAATCTGCATGACTGACGTCTGCAGGTGTTGGAGGGCGAGTGAAGTGAGGGTGCTCGTTCCTCCCGTAGTTGTCGCTGTTGCTGCTGCCGATCGTGTGCTCGTGTCGTTGTTGTTGCTGTCGTTGACGATGACGCTTGTTGCTGTTGCCGTCGTTGCATGTGATGATGCGTTGCTTGCCACGACATGCAGGTCACGGCGGAGGAGGACGGTAGCGCACATTTCGACGCCTTCCAGGTGTCTAAGCAGTGCATGGAGATGGTGGCTGAGGGGGCGTTGGAAGTCGGTGAGAGTTATTGCAGGAGTGAGGGGACGCACCGAGGGGCAGCGCAGGGAGGGGGGGGGTACGAACGGACGAGGGAAAAATGTTAAACGTTTCGAGGTCCATGTTTCGGTGGCGTCGTAACTTGCAAGTCGTGTCGCATTAGAAAGCAGTATGATTGTAGCCAGTGGTGCGTGTACATTTTCGCCACGCGCCTGAGATTTGTTGCTGCGGATTTCCGCCAAGACATAGGGTATATGGGTTTCCGGACTCGGGTGTGTCGTTCTTTTTCATCACGCGCTGTCCTGCCCTACGTTTTCCATCCACAGGCGAGAATCCGGGGCACTGCATGGTGCCGAAGACGTTCACGGCGATCGTTGAGATGAAGGAAGCGAAAGAGGTCAGAAGTGTCCCAGCAATAATCTATAGTTTTTGACCAAACAGGTCGTTGCAGCGGGCTTCACGTCGAGCGGAAGTCTAGCTGGTGTACAGTTAGTTGTTGGGAAACGACTTGAGGATTTTGCTCGCGAATACCGCACAGTTTTGTTCGGGCTTCGCTGGAGTCGTAACGGTAGCGTTTTCCAAGCGTCCTGTCATCGTTTGCTTTGTCTCCGAAACATTTCGACCGCCTGTCCAAGGCCGGAAGCATTCTGGCGGCCGCCTCCTCCTTCGCTTACTTTTTACAACAACCACGGTGGTCCCGCCCATTGCGCACCC